TTTCTTCTCTCCAGGTAAGACGCCGTCTTTTAAGAATACTATAATGGGATATATCTATGAAGGGCCTAGTTCAGCACAACACACCTCTATTACTTCGGGTTCTTCAATGCTTGGTCTTAGTAGGAAGTCGATCAGTAATGGATGCGGGATGGATGTATCTGCCATCGAAACAAAGCCTGCTAGTTTGTCTGCTCTATTATTTTTTTCCCAGCCGATCTGCTCTATCCGCACTACTTTGAATTTCATGATTTCCCTTCTGACTAACTCTTGATACTTTGCCATCCTCTCATCTTTTGCTTCGTAGTCGCCTGAAATCTGGTTTACTACCAGTTGGGAATCACTGTAAACCATTAGCTCGGTGGCCTATATGAAAAGTGCTGATTTTAGGTCTGCTAAGAGTGCCTCATACTTCGCCTCATTGCTTGATGCTAGGAAGCCAAGGTTGACTGCTTGTTCCACTACTAGGTCATCTGGTGAGATGAGGAGTATGCCAAGTCCTGTACGGTGCCTGTTGGATGCTTTATCTACAAAGAGCTTCCACATCTCTCTAACGAATAACTTCCAGCAAGTGGAGGGATCGAATAATGTCTTGGGGGCTTGAGTGTTGTTTTCTTCCAAGTCCCTAGCTGCTGTTGAGGTTTGCTCTTTATTATCTGATTGCCCCAAGTCTTCACTTGTCAATGAGCCCTTACTGGGAATGGCATGGTTTATTCATTCCTCTTGATCTTCAAGCCTGTGCGGTTTGCAATGTGGCTGGGTATCCTGAATTAGGGGTTGCGCAATTCCTGCGGCACTTTCCGTCCCCATTCCTGTCGTACCAGTCAAGTTACCTGGGTAGATGTGATGACTTCCTAGTGTGAACTCTGCCACAAAGTCTGCCAAAGCTTGGGCTTTTATTGCGGTTCTGGATTGAAACTTGTTATCAAACTGTCCCAATTCCACTGCCCACTTCAAGATTCGCCCAGAAAAGTTCGCCCTCTCAAACAAAGCTTTTAATGGAAAAGCTGTTAGGATGATTATGGTATGGCCGTGGAAATAATGCGACAGCTTCCTTGAGGCCATCATCAAGGCTAAGGCCAATTTTTCCAATGGTAAGTACCTGGTTTCTGTGCCCAGCAAGGTCTTGCTAACATAAAAGATGGGCAGGTGTTAGATTCCTTCCGCTCTGACCTACATTGCGCTGACTGCGTGCTGTGAAACTGCCAGGTACAAAAAGAGCTCTTCTCCAGGTATTGGGGTTACTAGCAATGGTGGAGATGACATGTACTCTTTCAGGCTTTCTAGGGCGCGGTCACATTCTTTATCCCACTCAAACTTGGCCTTTAATGCTTGGGAGAATGGTCGACATCTGTCTGACGACCGACTTATGAACCGATTGAGCACAGCTGCTAGGCCAGTGAGATGCTATACCTCCTTGACTGTGTTGGGCCTCTCAAGATCCTGGATTGCTTTGATATGAGAGGGGTCTGCTCCTATACCTCAGTTAGTCACCAGAAAGCCTAGGAATTTGCCTGATCCTACGCTGAATGCACACTTGGATGCATTTAGGCGCAACTTGTTCTTCTTCAGAATTTGGAACATCTCATCTAGGTCCTTGAGATAGTCGTTCTCATTCTTGCTTTTGACCACCATGTCATCTATGTAAGCTTCCATTGTTCTGCCTAACAATGGTTCAAACATCTTGGTGATCATCCGTTGGAATGTTGCCCCTGCATTTTTTAGGCCAAAGGGCATGACCTTGTAACAGTGCAATCCTCTAGGCGTTATAAAGGATGTGACCTCCTGATCTGGTTCATACATGGCGATCTGATGGTAACCTCTGTACGCATCAAGGAAGCTAAGTTGATTGTGGCATGCCGTCAGGTCTACCAGTTGGTCTATCTGTGGTAAGGGAAAGCTGTCATTTGGGCATGTCTTGTTGACCGTTTTGTACTCCACGTAGACACGTCATTTTTCGTTCTTCTTTGGCACTATTATGGTATTGGAGATCCACCTGGGGTAGTGCACTTCTCTGATAGCTCCTGCCTCCAGCAAGTTTCCCACTTCTTCCGCTACTATCTCGGCGTTGAGTGCTAATCTGCGAGTGCGCTGTATAACCAGTTTGGCAGTTGGGTGGACGTTCAGTTGGTGACAGATGAAATTTGGGTCAATGCCAGGCATGTCATACGGTGTCCAGGCAAACGCTTCGATGTTAGAGGTTAAGAATTCTATGACCTCTATTCTCTCAGTGTTGGACAAAGACGAGCAGAGCAAAAAGAACTTTTCTAGGTCTTTTTCATCTATTCTTACCTATACCAAGTCTTCCACTGCCTTTTGTTCAGCTGCCTTGCCAACATCCGCAAATAGTTAATTGCTCTCGGGCTCTTCCACAATTTGTACATACCCTTTTACAGCGCAGCTGCCATTTATTATGACGAAGTGCTGTTTTGACATGACCTGGTCTCCAAAGACCTCTTCAATTACTCCAATTTCGTTGGGGAACCGCAATACTTGATGTTAGGTTGAGGCTACCGATCGCATGACATGCAACCATGTCCTCCCTAAGATTATGTTGTAGGTGGAAGGGACTTTCAATACCCAGAATTCCACATGTTTTGTTATGGTTCCTGCTTTGACTGAAAGGATTGTCTTGCCTACTGGCCACTCTAGCATTGAGTTGAATCCAATCATGGGAGATGTTGCAGGTGCCAAGTCCTTATCCTCCAGTTTCAGTTGTTTGAAGGTTTCGTAATGCATTATCTCGTATGAGCTTCCCTGGTTGATCAAAATCCGTTTGACGTCGAAATTCTTCATGCGTAGAGTGACGACCAGTGCGTCATTGTGAGGGCAATATATCCTTGTTAAATCTCTGTCTGAAAAAGATATGACATTTGTGGCCTCTGTTCTCCCATTTTTTATGGCAGGTTGTGCACTTAATACCTCCCTTAAGTGCTCAGCCTTTTTGATCATTCCCCTGAGCTCACATACCCGCTCAGGTTCGAATACTCCATGTATTACGTTAATTACGCCTTGAGGTGGGGCGTCAACCGGCATTCCGTTTGGGTTGTTGTGGTTTCGGGGGGCTGGTTGTGTCCCTCATTCTATGTACTGGTCCAGGTGCCCAGCTGCCACTAATTCCTCCAAGTGCTGCGGCAATGGCGTGCAATTTTCAGTGCGGTGCCCCTTTTCATCATGGAAGGTGCACCGGGACCTTTCGTCATAGTCTTTTTGTGCTTCTCCCAACTTAGCTAGCCATCGGACGAAAGGTTTATTGCGTATCTCATTGAGAATCCGGTAGATTGGTTTTTTAAACACTGTGATGATAGCAGTGCGAACTCTTAACTTCCTCTTGTCTGGGTCCTCTCTGTTGGCCGGCCTGCCTTGCCCATTCCTATTAGGTTGCTCTATCGTGTTGACTTTTGCTGTAGTCTTTTTATCTGTTATGCCAGATTTCGCTTTAGCACGGGCGCTATCTTCCTCCACGCGAATATGTTGGTGCACTCTCTCCATTAAGGCCTCCATCGTGAGGGGTGGCGTCATAGTAATTGAGTCCCTCAATTTGTTACCGATTGGCAAGCTTCGTTTGTATTGTGCAATGGCGAGGTTCGTGGAGCAATCCCCAATCTGGTTGAAGGTTTCCAAATAACGACTGTTATAGGACCTCAACGTCTCTTTTTCGCCCATGTCAATGGAGAGTAGTTAGTCGATCTCCACTGGTGTCTTGGTGTTCGTCCTGAATCTAGTTACGAACGCCTCTGCCAACTGTACCCATGAGGCGATGCTGTCTTCTAGTAGCCTTTTGACGAATATGATAAGAAAGTTTAGTGTAAATAGAATTTGATAGCACATATGACAACATGTGTTGTGTCGAACTTGTTAGCTTCGCATTAATTTAATTAACATGACATTTTTATGAGAGAACATAGCAAAATTTTAATCATGCTAAAATTTTGCATTTTGCTCTTTTCACTGGAGTTGATTTTTTGTGTTCATCAAAGCATTAGGAGAGTACTACTAGAAAGGCGCTAGTAAGACGTATCTATGAAAGTAGGTACTGATTGAGTTTGACAGTAAAAAATAAAAAATAAAAATAAAAATAATTAGTGTGTTTTGTTTTAATTTTTTAAATTTAATTTTTTTTAAATTAAATTTTTTGCTTGTCATATATATATATTTTTTTAGCGAATATTTATAAAATTTTAAATAATTTTTTTATTTTTTTAAATGTACCTTACTTAGATGTATCTAAATAGTAAAATATTTGTGAAAAAATATTTTAAAAAATTAATAAATACACAAAATATAAAAAATAAACTGAATTTTCATTTTTTTTTGGTATTTAAGATATTTTTTAAAGATTTTTTTTTATAAATATTATACTTTTTAAGTGTTTTTATGTTAGGTGTGTGTAAAAAATTTTAAAAAAAATTTACTTAAAATATTAAAAAAAATTCATTGAAAACATTAAAATATGAAAAATAAAAAAATAATTTTTTTAAAAGCTGTTTTCTAAAAACCAGAACTAAACAAATTGAATCATACTTTTCAAAAAACAGAAAAAAAATTTAAAAATATATTTAGCTATGAAAACTATGACAATCACTAAGCCTCCGTTTGGGAAGTGGGTTGGCTTTTTGGTTTTTTTGGCTATTTTAGCCTAGGCTTAAAAGCTTCGTTTGGGAAGGCTTTTTGGTTTTTTAGCATTTTTGAGTTTTTTTGTGAGAGAAGAATGTAATGATTATGGGTTGGATGTGATGTTTTGTTTGTTATGGCTAAAATAGCCTATTTTGTTTTTTGTGACTAAAATAGCCAAAAAAACCCAAACCATGGCTTCCCAAACGAAGCCTAAAAACCCCTTTTCATTTACCTTTGGAAATGAAATGGTTTTGGTCACTACAATTTATTTTATACTATCTTTAAGACACGTTTAAATTATAAACAACGAATTTTTTTCAATTAGCGATAGACATATTCGTCACTGGTGATAAAACTTTAACAATAAATCACAAGGTTTTGGGCCATATATAAAATTATTTTTCCTTGTATTGTTAACTGAGAAAATTGTCAAATACAGTAGTCATTTTCTCTCTCTATACTTCTCTCTTACTCGTGTTCGTGACAAAAACATTGAAGGGAAAACAAAAATGAATTAAGTTTTTTACCAAGTAAAAAATATACAAAAGATCCCAATACAAATAATTATGACAATTAGAAGAATAAATCAAATGAGCTCTAGAAAATACCATCCCTACCCTAATCTATATTATAGTATGCATTCTAATTTATCTCTAAATTTGTAGCAATTCTCTGCTCATCACCCGTCTTCGTTCTTCCAAGCACAATGCCGCCTATGGCAAGACTTGAACCCTATTCACTAACTATTTTTATATTGGCTATATATGGTGACGGTGACGGTGACGGTGACGGTGACGGTGACGGTGGAACTTCATTTTCTTCTGCATCCTATTCATTGATGATCGATTTCCACCATCAACCGGTAGCGCTAGCCACAAATTGTTGAACGTCGATCACCATGATAGTTATGTCATCCCTATTACCTCTCCCTAAAGACATATCGACAAGTTTTCTACAAGATTCTTGTGAATTCTTCTTGTTTTTTAATACCACATCAACTGCCTCTTGATCATTTACCTGTTTCAGAATCACAAATTATTAATTGTCATTTCAAATTTGTAGTGCAGTGAGGTTGTGAACTGACAGAATAGTAAATCAAATCTGTCATTGGTTTTTAATAACATATGTAGTTTAGCATAAAATGAGATGAGATGAGATGAGATGAGATGAGATGAGATGAGATAAATAGTAGTACATACCTTATCCCATAACCCATCAGAAGCCATAATCAAGAAATCACAATCAGAGGATAAAGGGAAGTTGTTAATATGAGGCTCAGAAATGACCCATTGTTTCAAATGCAAGTCCCCTATTGCTCTTGACACTGCTAGTGATCCATTCACTCTCCACACTCCATTTATACAATGCACATATCCACCCTGCAAAGCTCAAAAAAAATTTCTCAAATCAATATATATGTGGCCACAAATTTATTTATTTATTTTTTAAAATAAAGTATATAAATGTTGGATGTCGGATGATGATAGAGAGGCTTACTTACAGAGCTTTCAATTCGAAAACGTTCATCTTCTCTGGAGAGGCGATGATCGGTGGTGAGTACATGAGCAACTCCATTCCTACTCAGAACTACTTTACAATCTCCCACATTGGCTACATGTAGATTTCCATCTCTAAACAGCACACTTGCTGCACATGCTCCTCCATTTACTCCCTAAGAACCACCAAATATGTAAAAACCAATTAGTCCAATTATCCATATATATCTATATATAAAATCTTTGAATATATGAGAATTCTGCTAAAATGGATCGGTACCCCAACTCAAGCAATTCTGCTATATACATATATATATATTTTTTTTCTTGAATAATTTTTTTTTTATTTAAATTTATAATTAAGGCGAAACTTGGAAAGCTACAAATGAGCCAGACAAAAAAAGATGGGCATTTCAAGAATCAATCTATTAATGAAAAACAAGCCCACACCTACACCTAAATAAATATTTTAAATAAATTTAATAGCCTATATTAAGTCAAGCCCACTTATTTTAATGAGGTTGAAACTTTCAAATTAATGATGTCTATAATCATGAGAAAAAAATTTAAAAAATTGTTTTTGTTTTTAAATTTATTTACCTGACTAAGAAATTCCTTATCAGTGTCCAAATAGCCGTGATGTATGGCTACTTCTAACTGATCTTCTTCGTCTCCGACAAATTCAAGTGCTTTCACAATGTTCTTTCCCAGATTTTCAGCAACATAATCTGCTGCAGCTTGCCCTCCATGTCCATCAATCACTGCAAAAAATGCCTGTAAAAAAAATTAAAAAATTAACACCCTTAATTTGCAGCCAATTAATATATGTGGTCTCCTAAATCTTGACAATAGAACATCTAAAAAAATCTCATCTACTAATAACTAGAAGATTAAAATATACTTATAAGAAACCCATCAAAAAAGAAGAAGAAGAAGAAGAAGAAGAGAAGATCATGTTATTTGGAAAACTTTAGTTGTTGATTGGATAGAGCTATAGAAGGGAACTAGAATTAATAGACGGATTTTAGGCAATTAGATACATGATTTCGATTAGTTTTTCCTTTTTTGGTCTTCAACTAGTTTGTATTATAAATAATGATGTGGGCTATGGGATTTAAATTTTGAGGGTTCATCTCTTTTTCGCCTTGTGAATTTGAGGACGGATCATGGTAAAGAGTTATTCGACTTCTCCTTTCCTCGCTTCCCTGTTCTGCATCAACAATTGGGTTATGATTTTGAAATACCAAAACTTGCTTTTGATTGCAAGATTCCAACAGCTTTTTTTTTTTTTTGAAAAGCAAATCACTTTCACGATGATTATCACCAAAAGGAAGGCAAGTCAATTATGATTTTTAGTTTTCATATGTGACACCTATCATTACAAAATCAGACATAATAACCTTCTACGAATTGTAAAATTATTTTCACTAAAACGAGAATTTTGATGACCAACCTGTTTACGGTCTCCGAGAATATTAAGCAAAACACCATACCGATCTTCCATAACCTCCCTCTTTCCTTTTTTACTAGCCAAGTAGTAATCTCTACCTTCCACAACCTCAAACTCCTCGCTCCGATCTATTTTTTTATCAACATCACCAAATTCCAAACTCGGATAGTGTTCTGGTACGATGAGCTTCCCAGGCCTCTTCTTCAACCTAATAGTACTGCTGCTAGTAGTTGTAACCGCCTTAACGTCACCGACCTTTCCCTCTACTTCACAAAACATATTTTCTTCTTGGAGTTGTGGAATATTATTCGTCACCGAATCATCTTCTTGGTTGTCTGTGGATCCCAAACCTCGATTCTTTGAGTTCTTCGCGTGTTCAAAGAAAAACCAAGAAGAAGATGGTGGCGGTGGCGGTGGTGAGGTCAGAGATGTAGCTATGCAAAGCGTGGTCTTCTTAAGGCCTTGAAGAAAGTAAAGAAAGAAAGATATAATATAGAAACCCAAGAGAAAGTCTTGTATATCTATCATCTTGTTAATGAATATTCCAAAGTTTGTAGAGGAAGTAATAGCTTTTTGAATCATGCAAAAAAGAAGAAGAAAGAGGTTTGTGAATGATTGATTCATGCAAGAAAAGAGAAGGATGGAGAGAGGGTTAATATTGGGGGTAGGGAAGAGGAAGAGACAAAAATGGTTTTGGCAAATAGAACTAAATCCAAGGACTTGGTCTTGCAAAGAATGTGTATAGAGATACAGAACAAGTTATTGTTGGAAATGGTCAAATCTCCTAGGACTTGGTCTTGCAAAGAACGAGTACACCTTGTCATCACCAAAACTGTGGCTTGGATATTTAATTTTGGAAATACATAATTTATAAATAGATTTTTTCCGTATTTAAATTGTCTTGGGTAGTGATATTTTTGTAGTTATTAATTATAATAATAAGTGTACGAGCAAGAAATAACTTTCTCGTATATTCCTGTTGATAAAGTCCGCGCTCCTCCAAACGTCGTCGCTTTACTTCATGAAAACACAAACGTGAGCTAGCCGGCGGGTGTGTGCCGAATACCTCTCCGATGCCTAAGTCAGCAAAATAGACAAATAGACAAATGCTCTGTGTATTCGAGAATCAAAGTTGTGTTACCTCTCCATAGGTGATGTTGTGAGCTTTTATAAGTTCCGCGTGACACAATCCAAGTAGGACTCTTACTCCTCTATGTAGAGTCCTCATAGGAATCACCTTCCTGAAAGATAATGCTTATCTTTCAACACCCCTCACTGCTTAAACTAAGTGAGATGGTTCTACCATGGTTGGATGTCAATAAGACCGAGATATCATGGCCATGCTAAAGCCGCAGACTAGACCGAGCTCCCACTAGCTCAATTCTTCATTTCACTGCGTGTACCTCGGTTTAACATATTCCAACTGAGTTGTCTGAGACCGCACTAATCACATCGAGCTTGGACCGAGCTAACCAATAGTAAGGTTCTGAGGAAAGCTCATCATATTTCGGCTCAATATGGTATGACCAAGCTAACTGCAGAGCTTTCTTGGACCGAGTTACTCAACAGCAAGATCCTAAATAGAAGCCAAAAATGCCTCGGCTTAAGATGGTTTGATCGGGCTAACTGTCACCGCGCCAACCGTGGTGACCGAGCTAACCACCAAGCTCCTTCGGACCGGACTATCTGCACGGCTCCTCTGGACCGGACTAATTACAAGGCTCCTTTTACTCAGCTCTTCTTACTGTGGCCCATAGAATGGCCCATTACCCAACTCGGCCTAATTTATATATAAATTACCCTTTCAATAAGTATTTTGATTTGTAATATAGTTCTCAAAAGTTTCTATATGCAAAACAAAATTATTTATTTACATTATTTATTTTTTAGGGCTGCTAATAATACTCTCAATTTTTTTTTCCCGCTTTTTTTTTTATTTTTTTTTATTTTTTACCACACTTTGTTTTTTTATTATCTTAACATAAAGTTAAAATTTTATGACTTTCTCTAACCTGTCAAATTCCAACTTTGACGCTACCCCACCAATCATCGCTACCATTTCAATTTTTTCATTCACAAAAAAAATATTTTGTTTACAACGACTGAGCTTTTCTCTGATCATGTATCTAGATTGAAGGTTGTTATTTGAACTTGTGAGATTCATTATGAATTTTATTTTGATAATTAGATTCGTTTATTTTGTAATTTTTTTATGTATATTATTTATATAAAAATAAATAAATTGATCAAATAATCATAACTTATTTAATTAATTACAATTATCTCTAAAAGAAAATTGAAAGTAAGTGTATTTTTAAAAATAAATCATCTATTTTTTTGTAACAAATGCAAAAAATAAAATAAATTAAATAAATTATAATTAACAAATCAATTTAATTTTTTATATAAATAATATATATAAAAAAATCTTACACAAAAATTATTTAAATAAACAAAACAGAACCTATGGGAAAGCGCCCTCCAAATAGGCCAGCCCTTTTTGACAACTTAGGTAAATTACAAATATATGGGTAAATTACACTTACCTCATTTGAAATTTTTGGCAAATACAGTGATTTTTTTGTAATTATAATAATTATAGTAACTTCTTTAACTTTACCTATATTCTCCAGATTCTTTTTTTTGTCAAATTGGAACTAACAAGATTACTTTTTCTATAATAAATGACCTAAGTGCCCTTCTTTTTAAAATATTAAAAAATATTTTTGAATTGGAGGACATGTTTGAAAGAAACGAAAAACATTTGAAATAGTATTTTTGGATTTATTTTTTTAAAATATTAAAAATGTTTAAGAAAATTTTATTTTTTATTTTAAATATACAATTTTTATTTACATATTTTTAAATTTTTAATTTTAAACATGTTATTTTATTTTGTAAATATTTTAATTTTTAATTTTAATATTTTAAACTCAAAACACAACTTCACACATAAATCGTAACCAAACATATAATTCAAAACTTATTTTCAAAACTCATAACCAAACACATAATTCAAAATTTCACACTACTTTCAAAACTCTACACTCAAATCATAACCAACACATAACAAACAAAAAAATTAAAATATTTATAAAATAAAATAAAATATTTTGTCACGCCCTCAAAATAAGACATATAAACCCAACGTTCATGTTATTCATAGACAAGAGAATAAAACATATTTCCATACATCAGAGTATTCTTACAAAAAGTAATACAAGTTGACAACAAAAGTAAATGCCCTGTATGCTTACAACTTTCTAAGTCAACACTTGGTTCCAACAAAAGAAGAGTTCTAACTCTCTACACAAATAAGCCCTTGGCTTGAATTTACATGTATCACCAAAAATAACAAAATAAACAAAAGAGTCTTCAACTCCCAGGACCTCCCAAGCTATGTCATTGGAGGTGGCATAACGCTTGAACCTGAAAATGATGTCCCATATAGGGTAAGCCAACGCCCAATGGAGATATGTTAAACATAATATGAGCAATAACTAAAACATCGGCATTTGATAAATGTTTAACTCTATAAACAAACATACATTTCTTTCCATTTTATCATCCAAACCAATTCATAGATATGGTTTCTTATTTAGCCAGACAGTTCATAATGAGCCTACAACTCATATTAACAATACTCCAACAATTCAATTTCAAATGAGATTACAACTCATATTAACAATACTTCAATTCATCTACGTTATGCAAACGCAATTAGGATTTCGGGACTTTCACCCTGGACACTCCGGCCAACTTAGTTATCACTGGAGTCCATCCCCTATCTCCTCCCAAATCCGGTTTAGGAGTCCATCTCCTATCTCCTCCCAAATCGTGGCGTACATCCCCTATCTTCTCCCAAACTGTGGAGTACATCCCCTATTTTCTCCCAAACAACATACATATACAATGTATTTAAACACTTATCATATACAATGATCAAGCAAAGCACATATTCAATATGTTATTCCTTCCGTCATATTTAAGGTTTGAAAATAATTTTTGAATTGAGTTTTGAGTTATGTGTTTGGTTACGATTTGAGTGTGAAAATGTGTTTTGAGTTTAAAATATTAAAATTAAAAAAATTAAAATATTTACAAAATAAAATAAAATATCTAAAATAAAAAAATTTATATATTTAAAATAAAAAAAATTCTTAAACATTTTTTAATATTTTAAAAAAATAAATCCAAAAATACTGTTTCAAACGCTTTTTGTTTCTTCCAAACATGTCCTTCAACCCAAAAATATTTTTTAATATTTTAAAAGGAAGGGCAATAAGGTCATTTATTATAGAAAAAGTAAACCCGGTAGTTCCAATTTGACAGAAGGGGGAATCTGGAGAATATCAGGTAAAGTAGGAGAGGTTATTGTAATTATTGAAACTACAAGGGAGGTCGATGTATTTGTCAGAAACCTCAAAGGAGGTCAGTGTAATTTACCCTAAATATATCTCTTGAGATTTACTTAAAGTATAAATTATTTTTTGTGATTTGAAAAATTACAAATACTCTCTTGTTAAAATTTTTTATTTAACAGAATTAATTAAAAAAAATATAATTCATAATTATTCTCCTATACAATAATGAAATTACCTAAATTATTAATTAAAAAATATTGCTAACATCATTAAAAACTGTTAATTAATTTGATAATTTATTAATAAAAGGGATTATTGTTATGAAATTAAAAATTTTAAGAGGTGGAATATAATTTTCAAAATCACAAGAAATAATTCATATTTTAATCAAATTTTAGAAAGTATATTTATAATTTACCATACAACTTATCACACACATTTAAAAAAACAAAAAGGAAAATGCTATGGATCATAAATAATTTATCAAATTTTCTACCAACCTAAGACCTACACAAATCTACATATATATGAGTCTCATACCCATATAAAAAATTTAATAAATTATTTGGAGATCCGACTATAAACAAAAAAAAAAAACAAAGAGAGAGTAGGCAAATCAGTCCTAAACATAGTCTAAAATATGTTGGACTTAATAGGGGTGGGCAACGGTTTATCCGAACCGCTCAAACCGCCCAATCCGCCCAACCCGCATATAAATGGGCGGTTTCGCAAACATAATGCGGGCGGATGCGGTTTGAAATATGACAAATTTGCGGGTTGCGGGCGGGTCGCGGTTTAAACCCGCAACCCGCAAAAACCGCCCGCACTTTAATTATTATTATTATTATTATTTTTTATATACCAACTTTGTAACTTTTACAGGAGCACCATTATATTCTCTATGACACTAGGGAAAATAAAAAACGGGACCTCTGGGTATAAAACTAAAAAAACTGTGGACCTATTGAACTATTAAAAATAAATTGGGATTAGAAGGGAAATAGATCCTCTACATAGGACTACATGGTAATTTTTCCAAAGTCAAAAAGCTCTTCCCAAACCAGGCTAAAATAGCCCAGGCTAAAATAGCCAAAAAGCCAAAAAGCCAAAAAGCCAACCCACTTCCCAAACGGAGGCTTAAGTTGTTGTGTAGTGTTTGTTAAATAAGTTGTGTAAGACCCCTAACTTTTGTAAACCTTATTAGATCCCAAATTTTGAGTTACTATAACAAAGCCCTTAATTCGTTGATTGCTCGCAAATTAAACCCTAGAGTCAAAAACGCATCACGGACGAAACCATAGAAACCCTAATCGACCCTGGAAGCTTAGAAATCATTTATAACACTCTAATATTAATTATTTAACTCTCAAATTTTAGATTAATTGCTCTAAACCCTAACTTCCGATTTTTACAGTCTTCAATTTAATGCATTGATATTCAATTTTTATTTGTAAACTCATCAAAAAATTGTTATCACAAATATATAAAATGAATCTGATGCCTAAATTTACTGGGAAAAAAAAACTCGAAAATTAGTTTTTAAAGAAAAAAGTGTAAATCGTAAACCGCCCGCAACCGCCCGCACATTTGCAAACCCTATCCGCACAAACCGCAAACCGCACTGCGGGCGGTTGCGGGTTGACTTTTTCTCAAACCGCATAGATGCGGGCGGGTCAAAACCGAACCGCAAACCGCACAAAACCGATCCGCGAACACCCCTAGGACTTAAGCCACAAAAAACTAAAATAATGGCCCCGTTTGGTGTAGCTGTTAAAATAACTTATAGATTATAGCTTAACAGATTATAGATTATGACTTTAATCAGAAGTTGTTAATCTGTTTGGTGTAACTGTTGGATTATATATTTAAGTTGTTGTATAGTGTTTGTTAAATAAGCTGTGAAATAACTTTTTTAATTAATTTTTATTTTTTATTTGTCTACATTTCTCATAAAAAATAATAATAATAATTTATAGTCCATTTGGGTCTTTTTATATTTTTTTTAAAATAAAATATAAAAAAATCTAAGAGTATAATCATAAATTAACATGTCAACAGCAGAAGCTGATAATCAGAAGTAAGGGATGAGCAGCTTCTCAGAATCAGCTTTTTTGAGTTAAAATAAGCTTTTAGAATCAGAAACTGTTCGAAATAAGTTTAACCAAACAATCCAAAATAACTTTTTCAAAGCTAAAAGGTATAAGTTAGTTTTGAAAAGCTGAAACAAACACCCTCAATAAGCTAATACATGAGGCTAACTAGGCATGCAAGCAAGACACAAAGAGGGAGACTAACCCCTCTAATTTTGGATTTCAAAATGAGGTTTTTGCCACTGAAAAACCTCTGAAATTCAGTAGTTAAAAGAGCCAAAAAAAGTTGGTTTGAAAGTGATGAATAATAGCACAAAAGCTTAACAAGCAAAGGAGTAAGAAGAGTGAACCACCCCCTAACTCAAAATAGCCTCAAACTAACACTTTTAAACCATAAAATAGAGTTTTTGACAGTTCAAAATCAGCTCAAAAACAGTTGAAATAGATGAGAAAATAAGTATACAAAACAAGCTTAAACAAAGCAAGTGTTATACCTTTTAAACAAAGCACAAATTAGGAACAAATTCAAGCTCAAATCTCCTTCCAAACCTCAAATAAAACTCCAAGGAACCTCAGCTCAAAGATGGACAAGTTTGATTAAGGGTGTTGGTATGCAAAAGTATAGAGAAATTAGGCAATTAAGCACAAAATATTAAAGAGAGAGAGAGAGAGAGAAAGCTAAAGAGGGAAATATTTTTTTGATCTCAAAATATACAATCAAACAAATAAAAAAAATTCTAAACTCTCTCCCTAAAATATTTTTGAAAATCTATCTCCAAAAACCACACCAAGCACGCCCGCAATTTCCTCATTACCACCAAATAGCCCCAAATTCAGTGGTAGTTTCGCCCAAGACTACCTAACCAACACTTGAAAAAGGCAGAGCATTTATCCAAGACTGTTTAAAATGCACAACCCACCACTTTGGCTACAATGCCTCTCCTCTCCACCTCTGCAACCTTTCATCATACCAAACTTCCACTTCTCTCTCTCTCCTTCTTCTTCTTCTTCATCATTTCTTTTCAATAATTTCAAGCCCAGGCGCTTCAGCTTCTTGAAGCCATTCTCTTCCCTTAACGAAACGAAGAAACGAAAGACCCTCCAAAAGGGTATTCCTAAAACCCCCCCACAGAGCCCCAGGACGCTGTTGAATCTGAAACCAAACAATGATGGTGATGAAGAAGAAGAAGGTGGGTTGGAAGCTGAGACTGCTATTAAAGGAACCCTTTTGGCTGGTTTCTTGCTTGTGGGTGTTGTTGGTGGGTTTGGCACGGTTGGGTTCATCTACAAGGATCAGATCAATGCCTTCTTAACCCAGTTTTCGGGTTTCATTGAAGGTAATTTCTCAAGAATGCCATACCCATTTCAAAATTCTTTAGAATTATGGCCTAGATTTTGTATGTATTGCTATTGGAAATTTGGGTTTAATATCATACCTTCTTTTAATTTTTTTAAATTGGTGTAAAATTGTTTATGGGTACCAGAAGTTTTGGTTATGTTGAACGCTATTTCTTTATATTTGAAACCCATCAAGGGTTAATACTTACACGCCCCAAGAAAATTTTAAATTTGTTTTAGGGAAATCACAAGACATCATTGGACTATTTGAATCCATCAAATTTAATTCAGATTGATTCAATTAATTAGGACGGGATATAAATATGCAACCAATCACAAAGAGAGAGAACAAGATTATATGTGGAAAACCAAATCTCAGGAAAATACTATAAACAATTTTGAAGTTGATCCTCAAACTCATTTGTGTTGTTGATCTTCACATTTCCTTTCCTGATCTTCACTAGCAACGTCAACTCCAATGAAGGTGAGCAATCGATTAATGCATATGTCCTAAATTTATATGAATGAGAGTTAACCCAAGGAACCAATCCTCACTGTCACTCGCAATAGATTCAAACCACTGAGATCACCAAGAACTCAGCAATCCTTCAGGACAAATCTCACCATGTTCAAACATCTCAGTGGAATTTTTACAATGTTTGAATCATCGTTCTAGACTAAAGCAAAACCCATCTATTCCAACTGACACACTTTCGAATGAGATGTAGGAATCTTCAAATTAAAATAGAATCTGTAGTTGCAATAGTCCACCAAAGTTTTTTTTCTCTATAAAGTTTCTGCACTTTATTTTAAAATATATATATATATATATTATAAATTGAGCTTCTGTTAATGAACAGGTTATGGACCAGCTGGATATGCCTTATTTATAGTGGTTTATGCTGGATTAGAAGTAAGTGCTTGCTCTCCTTCTGAAGCCTAACATGTTTACAAGGCTAATTATTAGCCTCTCATTGATGTTCAACATGCTATACTTTAGGTTCTGCATTTTAAAAATAGCAAATGTTTTGTGGTTCCATTCCTCACACAACAAGCCGTCAGCGGTTGAATGTTGGTCCATTTATCTTTTTTATTTCAAGTCACAAATACTCAGCAGATCTGCATATGAATGCTATAAACCAAGAATTCTCTCAGATTTCTATGAATAGTCCCTTTGAATACCTATCCTCGCTGCCATTTCTCTTGAAACAATATACAACATTTGCATAGTTCCGATCATAATTCATGTATAGAATGAAGTTGTTTAATTATTTTATGCAACTTTACTGATACTTTGACTGATATGTTATCCTAGATCCTTGCAATACCAGCTATCCCATTGACCATGTCAGCTGGTCTCCTATTTGGTTCTATTACTGGCACTATCATTGTCTCTATCAGTGGAACAGTAAGTTGAAGTATTTCCATTTTACAAGAAAACAGCCTAGGCAATTGGGTACATGAACTTGTGTCTTTTTACCCTTTCAGGTGGCTGCAAGTGTTGCTTTTCTAATTGCCAGATATTTTGCCCGTGATCGCATTCTTAAATTAGTGGAAGGAAACAAAAAATTTCTTGCGATTGACAAGGCAATTGGAGAAAATGGTTTTGGTGTTGTTACTTTTCTCCGTTTGAGCCCTTTGCTTCCTTTTTCTATCGGAAACTATTTGTATGGACTTACATCTGTGAAGTTTGTTCCATACGTGTTGGGAAGGTTTGCTTCTTGTTTATTCAATACATTTGTGTTATATAATATTGGTTTCTGCGTTGCTTATATTATTAATTGGTTTGCCTTTTAATTGTTGTAACCAATTTCAGTGATTTAATATTTGTGTATTTTATTAATTGGTATCTAAAGTATTTTAGGATGCCTTTACCCTTGGAATGATATTTATTCAAGATCGACATGCCTGATGTTGAACAAAAATATAAACTTTTATATGTAAAAGTATTTCCACATCTAAATCTAGTTGTTCAACTATGTTACATTCTGCTTCTGCTTCTGCTTCTGCTTTTTCTTTTTTTGTTGTTCTTCCCCTTCCAATAAGTGAAGTACTACTTACTAATTCAACTTATTAAGGAAGGTTTTAATTTTGCTATTTAATTTTTGTGTTCTTCAACATTGAAATGAGTCCAAAATCCAGAATTTTAGATCATTCTTCTGAAGTATAAGATACTTTGTGTGATCTAGCCAGTATCAACTGTGAAAAATTAATATTACTTAAATGACATCCCAAAATCTGCTGCAAGATCAAAATTCAGAGATTGGCCTCTGGCTGAATGATTGATATGAGGTGTCTGGATTCGTATATAAACCAAAAAGTTACTCACACGCGGAACACTGTAGTTTACACTCAAAATTCCAAGTCCATTTCTAATCTCTTCTGCTTTAAATACAAAAATTGTAACCAAGATTTCTCATGCAGTTGGCTGGGAATGCTACCAGGAACCTGGGCTTATGTTAGTGCTGGCGCATTTGGGCGAGCAATGATTGTGAGTTTGTTATTGCTTTTTCCTTATATTATAAATTTATTTCTTTTAAATTTCTGATTATATCCGAACAGTACCTATTGTTTTTCTTGTTGGGGAAATTTTGTTGAGTTTACTGTAATGCATAGAAGAAGTGCTATTATGTGACCCTGGAAAGTAAAGAGGGTACAACGAGTTTGTCTGTCGTTGTGAGCTTGAAAACCCGCACTGGGTAGGATGGCTGTATCCTTTGGGTTAGGAACCCAAAAATGGATCATATGTCACTGGACTTGTGCGTAGCAAGCGCTGGAGGTACAATGTTGTGACTTTGACAGTCAGATTTGGATCCCTCAGTTTTTGACTTGGTATGTTATGGGCAATTGTTGGTTTTGGAACTTTGTATGTACTAGTAAGGTGGTGTGAGTTAATTCCTTAAAAAAGTTAAAAGGTGGTTTTAAGGTAAAAAGTTGCATTTGCTTACACTCCATAAATTGATGCGTGACTCAAAGGCAGTCCACTTGATGTGTGCTTCCACTCCCTAGTGACCCATCGACCCCCCGGTCAATACAGTAGTAAGGTAAAATATGTTCCTAGGAAATGGTCCTCGAGTGGTTGATCGCATTTCCTAAATCTCCATATAGCTCCACGAAGTTTCTAATAATTGGATATGTATTGCTTGTTCCCAGGTTGATTCCTCATAGTTTCAAGATTGAAAGAATTGTGTATTATTAATGTGTAACTAAAAATGATTAAACAATCTAAACGTACGTCTTCATAAACCAAACCAAGCCTTAAGTCTCATAAAATGGGATTAGTTATATGAATCCTTCTTCTTCACTCGACTCTATTAAGGGCTATTTGGTTAATCAAAACAAAGCGATTCATATATTTATTTACTACACTAACTCACGTCAATTTTGGTTTGTCCTTTCCCTTAACATTCCCATTTGCTGTAATTGTATCGCATCTCTTCACTACTATCTCTATTAGTCTCCGTTGTATATGATCAAACCATCTCTATTAGTCTCCGTTGTATATGATCAAACCATCCACCTTAGCATTTTCATCTCAACAACACTCATTTTATCTACATGTTGTTTTTTAGTTGCTCAACATTTTGTCCTATACAACATTGCTGGTCTAATAACCGTTGTATAAAAAAAAAATTGATCCATCATAGAATGCCAACTGTATTATATTGCTTTCCTAAGTATCTGAGGACCACCGGAAAGCCAAGCATTTGAATCAATATTGTTTGTGATTAAGTGATGAGTACATGTCATTGTGCTATTGGACTGAGCTTGACTTTAATACATAAATGTTATAAATGCAATTATTTAAAATTATTACTTTTTGAGATGTTACTTTTAAGTTCTTTAGCTTATTTTTATTGTATTGAAATTTGGGATGTTACAGCAAGAAGAATCTGGTGTGGGTTTATCTGGAGGAAACAATCAGCTACTTACACTCGGGCTTGGACTATTGGCAACAGCACTGGCTGCAACTTATGTTACAAAGCTAGCTAAGGTAATGTCTCCTCCAGCATTTTCTTTATATTTACACTTCAACTATTATTATTTTCTGTACTACTGCTTTAACATCGAAACAGTTCAAGAAGCCAGAGACTGGGGGCTTTTTGGTTTCTCCATGAAAATTACTGTGGAGGATCTTATTTTCTTGTTTCTTTATTATGCAGGATGCTGTTAAAGATACTGATGAATAGAGACTGGCTCATGGCTTCGTCAGGGAATTGGAGCATAGAACAATAACGATTTAGATTGAACAATCAACAGGTGTTGTTACTGCATGTAATTATTCAAATGTATCTAATAATTAACCAAATGAAATAGATACTGTTAATTTTTATTGATTTTTATCATCTATGATATGCTACCGAAATAAATAATCATGATGCTACTCTCTCTCTCTCTCTCTCTCTCTCTCTCACACTCAGATTCAATCCAGCACTTGTTGGACATTGGTATCGTTGTTGAAATGATATTTGATTTTGTGGTGGTTGCTAGTTAGCATGGCACAAACTCTTTCAAATTAGCAATTTGATTTCTATTGCTATGTGGTAAGCCAAGTTTATTGTGTTTGATAAAGCAAGCTATTGTAGTGAATGAAGATGTGCTCCAATTCTTTTGAATAACTGTCTTTTGAAGAGCTCAATTTTAAAAAATTGTCAACCAGTGAAATAAATTAGGACTTCTGTATATTATTTATTTGAGGAATTAGATTGATCCTTTTTCCCATTTCAAGGAGCAAAAAAATATAAAGGACACAAGCTGGTAATCATTGCATATGATAATTTAAGTTCAAAATAGTGTGACAGAAAATGTTATTACCCTGTTTTCTGTTTGTTTGTTTGTTTGTTTTTTTTTTTTAATTTCCAAAAAAAGTAGAAACTAGTTTGGTATAAATAAATAAATAAAAATTCTCATATGATTTTTGGTAAGAATAATTTAAAATTTATTTTTTAATATTTATTTTTATCAAATTAATCTCTATTTAAAAAAAAAAAATCAGAAAACTGATTCTGAAAGTAAAACGAAAGATAGTAATTTTTAGTCATTACAATACTATAGTTGCAAAATTTACGACTTGCTTCAAAGGCAATAGAAAATTATTTGCAATACTGTTTAAAATTCAATGAAAAACATTTGATTTGACTTGCTTCAAAGGATATCGACTTCCTCTTTCTTAATAGCATTAATTATTACACAATTTTTTTTTTAATTATTAACAAATGTCACTTTATTTCCTCTTTCTTAATAGCATTAATAATTACACAAAATTCTTTAATTATTAACAAATAACACTTTATTCTCTCATCTATCAACCCGCAAATTTTGATCCATCAACTATAAATACAGTACAAACACCACTAAAATGCAATTTTATAGTTAAAAAGTCTAAATGTATAGAAGCATAAATATGACAGTTGCTAATAATTTAGAGTCCTAGTGTAATTAACCTTTCTTATTATTATAGTTGGGAGTTCTTATCATTGAACAACATCATAAAAAAAAGAAAGATGAATAAACAATTCAAATCAACTCTGAACAACCAACCTATCAACTGATAAAAACTAAAACGATTCAGATACTGAAAATGATAAACTACTACTATTTTTATTAGAAAGGAAGAATTTTTATTTGGCCCTCTCTCAACAATTTACCAACAAAAATTGCACAAAAAATCCAGTCACTAAAATATTTTCTTGGCTTACTATGATTTCTTAGTTTGCGAGAAACCTACATTCAAGTGTGATAACCCAACAGTATCTGGGCTCTGAAGCTGTTGAAGCTGTTTCTTACCACGCCGAAGCAAGTATTCAATATAGAGGAAATTCTTACGTTCAACTAATGCTGAATTGCGACGAAACTCAGCTGTCACAACTGATTCAATTTGATGTCGATCTTCAGGGGATTTGGTGCGTGCTGCTCGCAAAAACCCTCTGTATAGACCAAGTACTTGCTTCTGCATCCCAGAAAGCTTTTTTGGTCCAGTAGAGCCTACCATTGGATCTTTCTCATCAACTTTGCTTCTAAATTGCTTTTCGGTAGTATATTCTTGAGCAGAGAGAAAAAGCAATCTATTACCCTTTTGCCTTCTACTGCAGCTCGGCACAAGTAGAATGTTAATAATTATTATAACACTAAATCACAAACGGAATAAAATAAAAATAAAAACCCTATTATTAAAAGATAGAAAAGCATATAGTTGCTCTCTACTTTTCAAAATCTCAAAACTTGTTATTTTGTAGGTGCCAAATATTCAGAAAACAAAGTATTGAGTCAACTCCATGATAGTCACACAAAAGACTGCAGTCTCAAAAAACTGTGTCAAGATTGGATTCTAGAATTGGAATGAGCCTCAAAAGAAATAAATATGGTAAGGCAGATGCACCGGATTACTTCAATTGCAGGGCTATCTTGTCTAGCCAAAGACCCATAAATACATATGGTAAAACAGTTTCACCACTATAATTCATTAAAAAACAAGAACAAATTTGAGTGCAAAGAGATACTCCATGAATATTGATATCTAAAATTTCAACAAACAATTCACATAGATTTGTCAATTGAAGGCTTAGATCTTGCCCATACTGCATCTTTTTTCCAACTACATGTAGCCTGACAAATAACTAAAGAGCCTTCTAACATGAAATTGTCAGTGTGTGCTATCTTGATGCCCTTTATAGCAGATTTTTTGCTTGGCAGCAACCAGGACTTGCACAGCATGAGTCAAACGACTATGTAGAGGTAAAGCATCGGCCATTGTTTTGCAGGTTCACAATTGGCAGAAGCAGGGATCTTATCACACTGATCAGCAATGAAAAGATCTGGTTATGCTTGGTGATGAATACTTGAGTGGTCCTATGCAGGGTGTGTGTGTGTGTGTGTGTGTGTGTGTGTGTGTGTGTGTGTGGGGGGGGGGGGGGGGGCGGCTGTTTATTAACCTGTAAACCCTGGAGGAAATATATAAGAATAGTATTTCTATAATATTAAAAATTATTTGGGGAAAACATTAAAAAAAATGAAATAGTTACAAAAAAAAATAAAAGAAGAATATCATAACTATCTCCAACATTTTAAAAGAAGAATAATCCTCTCTCTCTCTCTCTCTATCTTTCATATACTGATTTTCTTTACTTCCTCGTACCAGCTCTCACTACTGGCTTTCCAAACATGGAGGCTTCCATCATCTCTCCCCTGCCTCTCGTCCTCTATTGCACACTCTCTTCTGTAAGTCTCTCTTTCAAGTTGTGTGTGGACTTGTTCATCTCGAGCTCTCCCTACGTCCCGATTCTCCGGAGGGTGAAATGTTTTAATTGTCTCATATGTTTACATAATTTTATTATCATGTAAATAACATGAACTTTAGTTAGTATAATATTGATACACTGCAAAAAAGAAAAAGAAAAAAGAACAATCGAGCTTGTGAATTTCCTAATGACCAATCCATTACAAAAGCAACCACCATCACTATGGATGGCAATGAGCCGAGACGGGTGGATTTTGTTCTCCTTGTCCTTGATCCCTGAGTAACTTATGCTCCCAACCCAATCCCCAACGGGAAATTTTTTAGGCTACCATCCCCACCCCTCAACAGGGAGCAGATTTCCTCTTTTCCCATTTCTGAGCATTGATAGCAACAAAAGGAGAAAAAAAAAAAAAAATCATACAAAATCAGCCACACAAAAATAAATAAATAAATAAATAGATCCAAAAGATTTTGTTTCCATCAGACGCAACAGCTAAAAGGGGACCCTAACCGTCCCAAATTGGATTTCAAATTTTTTTCAATCCTACAACACAATAATGTCAGATCTGAAATATTTTATTATAGTTTTTACCCGAATTCTACTGAGATCCTATTGCCCACAACTAACATAAACATCAGTCAAGATTAACACATCACAAAAAAGATTAACCAAGACTTCCATGGAATCACCCCCAATTTGCTTGAAGAAAGTATTACTGGCAATAAAGAGATTCACCCAAGAAGTTGAATGCTTTTGATAAAGACAAAATGAAAAGCTTACAAATTGGACGATAATAATAGGAAACAAGTATCAATAATGAGTAAATTAAAAAATCTCAATCTACTAAACAAAATAAGATAACAAGAAACACAAAAGTAGACATTAGTAGACATATATTATTATGATATTGAATGCTATGACACTGCTATCATCATATAACAAATCAAATAGGGCTAAAGAATGATATAAGACGTACCGGGAATGTGAGGGAAATCAGAGTTTTGGGTCTTGGAGGTGTCGATAAGTAGGGGTGTGCACGGTGCGAGTCAGTGCCTTTTGGACGTAAAATAGAAACCGTACGGCAGGTGCGGATTGATAAAAGTGTTATTAGAAATTACCATTTTTCTTATCAAAAACCGGCAATTCGGTTGATAAATAATAACGGTTTTGACTTGGCGGTTTGGCCGGATTAGCAGTTTATAAAAAAACATAATTGAAATTACAAAATTTGAATGAAAGAGTAAGAAGATCTAATTTATAAATTAACTAAAATAGTCAAAATTAAAATAGATGTTCATTCATCTAATCTAGCATTAAATATTGACAAACTAGTGAAATAAAAATTCAACAATTCAAACAAATTATACAATAACAATTGAACATAAATAAATAACAAAAAAACTATCATCAAAATCATTATTAAAATAAAAATAAAAAAAAAGGGCCAATACAACAAAATAATATTGAGCAGAGACAATTGGATTCCAAAAAATAAGTGGAGTATTGACCAACTATTCCATTCAAGGACCCAATAATTGGAGGTTGGGGAAGATGATTAATGTATATTTTTATTAGTTGGATTGAGCACTTAATTATCTAACCCTTCTCTTCTCTCTCTCTCTCTCTCTCTCTCCAAGATTCTGAGCTACCATATTCAAGAAGGCTTCGAGAAAAATGTCTGGAACCAGAGACATTGATACAGGTCTCGATGACAAAAAGCGAAAAAGGATAAAGAGCGAGAGCTATGTACCAGCGAACAGCAGCGGCAAGCTGGCAGCGACGAGCAACGAGCGGCGGCAACGAGAGAAGAGCAGCGGCGGTGGCAGCAAGGCTAATGGCGGGCGGTAGCACCAATCGGCAAGGTAAGGAGGAGGAGCAACAAGGGAGACGAATAGCAGTCGATGAATGAAAGAAATGGATTGGGCCGTCAGTTAGGTTTAATTGAGAATTGATTGTGTGTGTGAGAGTCTGTACATTACTTTGATAGATTTAGCCTAGGATTGGCATCTTAAAAAAAAGTCGAAGAGTAAAAAAATTATGATTTTAGTTAAATTATATCACTTTTCTATCACATCAATTCAAATCTAACTTATATTTCATAAAAATTTAAAAAATACACTTACTTAAAACATTTCAAACAACCCCTTAATTTAATCCAATAGTTAGAATTAAACTTAAACCTATATATATATATATATACATATATATTAGCTGGAAGGGGAAATGAAATTAATGGCGGGTCGCGGTCGGTTCGGTTTGGTTTGGTTGAAATGGCAGATTGTCTTTTATAAACTGCCACTCACGTCGATCTGCCCTTCTTGAACTCTCCACCCATCCACTGTGTTTGGTTAAGTGATTTGAAGAGAGATTTAAAAAGAAAAATAAAAAAGGTAGGTGAAATGAGAATAAACTATGTCTAAATTTCACATAATTTTATATACATTTTTTCTTTCTCTTTCTAAATTTCTCTCCAAATCTTTTAACCAAACACAGTATAAAAGTAAAAAAAAAAAATGTGTAATTCAGCGTGACTCGATGCGATTTTGATGTGGTGGGTCTGCACATCAAATTCTGAGACAGAAAACACTCCGTTTGGATCGTGGCTGAGGTTGTGACGTACAAAGGCTGCGTATGTACTAACTTTTTTGTTTATTTATTTATATATATTATGTATTTTTGTGCGAAATGATTGGTAATGTTTTTTAGTATCACCGTTATCATTATTTATTTACAGGAATTTGGTGGGTCGTACTGGAGGGTTGAAAAATATTGTAGCGAGAAGACGGATGAAAATAAGAATAGGATGATAATTTTATTTAGAGTCTTATTAATAGTTGTACAAGTAAGAAATATTTCTTATCGTATAATCTTGTTGATCAAATCTGTACTCTTTCGTACGACGTCGCTTTATTTCTTGAAAATACAAACGTGAGCTAGCCGGTGGGTGTGTGCCGGATACCTCTCCGATGCCTAAGTCAACAAAATAGGTAAATAGACAAAAGTTCTGCGTATTCGGGAATCAAAATTGTGTTACCTCTCCATAGGTGATGCTATGAGCTTTTATAGGTTTCGCGTGGCACAATCCTAGTAGAACTCTTACTCCTCCATGTAGAGTCCTCCTTGGAGTCATATTCCTTAAAGATAATACTTATTCTTCAACGCTCTTCTCACTGCTTGAACCAAGTAAGATGGTTTTACCATGGTCGGATTCCAATATGACCGAGGTGAGCATGGCTATGCTAAGCCGCAGAGTAGACCGAACTATCTAGTTCGGTTCTTCCTTTCACTGCTCTTACCTCGGTTTCTCCTGTACGACCCATGGTATGCTTAGACCGAGCTAGCAAATAGCAAGATTCCAACCGAGCTAACCACAGTATGCTATGACCGAGCTAACGCTGAGTATGGTGACCGAGCTAACTGCAAAGCTCTCTCGGACCAGACTAACTTCAAGGTTTTCTCGGACCGGGCTAACTTCAAGGCCTTCTTACTATGGCTCACAACAGCCCATTACCCAGCTCGGCCCAATTTAGATATAAATTACCCTCTCAATTGCCCTTTAATTCTATCTGCGCAGCATGATAGGGATTACCTGTTTACTAGCCGAGCTAAAAAATCTTTAGCCCTTCCACCGAGCTAGTATGCCGCTGGGCTATCGATTGATATGGTTACAAAACGTTTCTTCAGTCGTACTGAAACTGAATCGCTTCCCATTCCTAGGACACGTGATGAACTGTCATTTGCCTGGCGTAGCTGTCACGCCGTCTTCGTATTTCGTAAAAGTTTGAACAGTCCCGCCATTTTGCTTCCTTTTCCACAAAACAAACCCTACTTTTTTGAATCATTCGCTTTCACTATTCACCTTCTTTCTCTCTCGTTTTGAGCCTTCATTCTTCCTCATCATTCCATCTGTGAAGCTCGCGTTCTTGTTGATACTACCCCTATCTTCAATGTTTTTACCTTGAACTGGTAAGTTGATTCGAATCTTTTTCCTTTCTGTTAATTTTGCACATGTATAGTATGTTTATTTGTATGTTTTTCAAAACATATTCCATTTTTGCTTAACTTTGGGTCTTCTGAAAAAGAAACCTTACAATATAGCCACTACATACATAAACAATCTAAACAAGTTTTCCTTTGATCCAAAATCACACTCTAACCGAACTAGGATATTGTTTGTACTATGTACGGTCCAGGCTGGACTAAACAATCGGACTAAAACTTCATACCCCAACTCATAGTTTTAATAGGCCCTACTTCTTAGCCGGGATATCGAACTGCATTAAGTTTGCACAATACCGCGCTAGAAAGCCCTAACCATCGACCGAACTAAAACTTGGAGCTAAACCAGCTCCCATAGTTAAAAACCGAACTAAGAATGCTGTCCTAAAAGTTCAACTGGGCTAACAGCCCCTTGCTCAAACCGAGTTAAGACCCGTAACACCTCACGTAGCCGAGCTAGGACTTTATTTATCTTGCCTTTGTTTCTTTTAGCACGGTCCAGCAACCTGTGCTTAACACCTTTGTTTTTTACTTTGCAGACTTAGGTTGCCCAAGCACTCCTTTGAGCACTCAACCGAGCTACTCAACATCATATTTCGACCGAGCTAATACTCCTGTTCAATTTATTTATAACTTAAACCTCAAATGGGAAAGTATAGGTTATTAGTTAACTCACTAGGTGCCATGGCCGAATTTCGAAAAGATTATAACATCCCTGATGATGTCCATCTCACCTTAGCCAACCTGGATATCATACCATGGGGAAAACACGGCTTCGTTCTTTTTACCCTTCTGTCCATAGTAGAAACCGGATTAAGATTCCGTGTATAACCTCTTCTCTATGAATTCTTTAGGCAGACCAACCTTTGCCCAACCCAACTTTCCACCAATTCTTACCGTATAATAAATGGTATTGCCGAGCTAAACTACCGGACTGGCCTTAATCTCGGTTTAGCCAATATTCTACAGGCTCCGCTGAAGATGGATGGGTCTATTATTTAAGAATAAGACGCCGGCGTGAAAAGATAATAAAGGATACCTCGGATAAAGACGTGAACGACGATGATTTCTTCTGGGTATCTGGGAATTTTGAGGACCAACAAGTCCAGATCCCTGGCGACAGAATAAATTGGAACAAGGGTGTAGCCGGTAGAGTTACCTCGGCTTTATTCTATGCCTTTCTTTACTTCAGTTTTCTCATCTTAAACCGCACTAACTGTTGTCTTCTTTTATGTAGATTTGAACTTTCTCAAGTCCCAATACAGCTACCCCAACTTGAATGTACTTCGCGCCGCCCTACGATATCCAAACCGAAGTTGGACCAAGCTATTAAACTTTCAGTCGACCTACCGATATAGTGGCAAACGAAAGACCAAGGTAACTGACTTTTTGTTAGAAGCCTATCCTGAACCGGACCCAAACTTGCCCTAAATCAAATTGATCCCTCTAACCGCTAAGCAAGAGATGGCCAAGAAACGAGCTGTAAGGGCACTCCTGGCCGAAACAAACCAGCCTGAGGTACCACCAACTGGTCAGACTCAAGAGATCGTGGTGGCCCTTCCATCCCATCAACCCTCATCATCTCGTCCCAATAAGTGTCCTCGGACTTCTACAACCAAGCCACACCTTGTTGATGAAGAAAATCCCATCCTTCTGCCAAGCCCTCTACCGAACCCACAACCGGAGCGTTCCGACCGAGCTAGCTTTTCCAAGTGGGCTCCCAAGATCACTTTTCAGAATCGTGCTATACGGGATACTGATTCAGTGGTCGCTGAAAAAGACCACCTAATGGCATTCAATCTGGCCAAGAGTGTTTGCCTTTCACCTGACATGGAGCACCATGACCACCTAACCGAGCTAAAGGCCCTTCGCTCGTCTACAAAATCCATGGTGTTAATAAGTAGCTCCCTTGCTTATCTTTCAAATTCTTACAACTTTCTGTTCGGTTGTACTTAAAAAGTTTCTTTCCATCCTTTTGCAGGCCATACAGAAGAACCACATCGCTCACAAGCGAGTGTTGGAACTTTGAAAAACCACTAGGCAGGCCATGGCAGAGGCCAACAAAAAAACCGTCGAGCTAGAACAGGCCAGGAAGCAGATAGCCGAGCTACAAACCGAGAATGGTCATCTGACCGGTCTTGTTAGCTTGGCTGAAGCAGACAAGCAAAAGGCTGCGGCCGTGATAAAAGATAAATATCTTTGCAAGCTAGCCAAGCTTGAAGGAAAAAAGAATGCCGAAATAACAAAGCTCGAGAAGAAGCTGGAGGATACGGGGGACCGCGGTTTCAAAGAAGGCGAAGCCCTGTACATCAAGCAGTGTGAAGCTGCGAAGGACCTGTTCTTTAAATGCGGGTGGAGGGGGGCTGTGGCACAGCTCGGTCATGGACCTGAGACCGAGGTCTTTAATCCTCCTTCATATTTCATACCGAGCTCACTGGCGGAGTATGCTGCTACCGTTCAACAACAATTTCTGGAGAAGGATAAGGATGAGGCTCCAGAAGACAACACTCAGTCCGGTCGCCAGTCTACCTCCCCCACTCCAGAGGTCTCCATCCCACCTTTGGCTGCTGATGCGGTGCCTTCGACCGAGCCTAACCAAGGGGTGCTTGCCACAACTGAGCTACCCCTGGGTGAAGACCAGATTGTTCTTGATGCTGACTTAGATGATCTTTTTGCTTGATTCTGTACTTTTTTTCTTTTTTGCTTTTGGACAAAAAATTGTAACCGGGCTGAGGCCCCTCCTATGTACTTGATTTGAATCTTCAATGAAAGCTTCTTTTGTTTTTCAACTGTTATTTCGGTTTATTCTTATGCTTGCCTTTTTCAAAAGTATTCTAAATGTAGTATAACATTTTCCAACCGAGGTAGATATCTCGGTTTTAGCTTTGCAATCTGACTGACCATACCTGCCAATCTCTTTAGCCTTGATCCT